TCGAATTTTTCTAATAAATTTGTTTCGATATCTACAAATACCGAAACATTTTATTCTATTTATGTAATCTATCTTGTATACAATGACACACATTTAGTTACACGTAAATCTCATCAATATTCATCTACAATATCTTTTAGTTCGAAACGTTCCACAATATTCCTAAAATAGCGAAATTCGAGAATGAATTAAGGAATGTTGAAACTTTAACACAACTGCAGCAGACATTTCCGTTCTCCGATTACTTCCAAATTTAGCACACATGATCTTTTCATCGTGCTTTAAAATTTACCGCGGCAGACAAAACCAAAAACATCACGAAAAAATATTTTTACCCCTATATATAACCCGACGCCGGCAATGTATCTTTTTTTTTACTAACGGAGCCATCAACCTGAATCTTTTAAGCCCGTCATTCTTTTATTGTCCTAGGCTTTAAAAAAATTTGAAAAATGCTGAAATACTTATTGGAGTTTCTGCTCTAACGTGTATAATTCATGACTAAGTTCTTTAAAATTATCAGATTGCTGTGTGTGACGAAGGTATAAGTACAAGGTTATCGCAAATAGACTATAGGAAGTTTTTTGACAAACGAACTATTGTAAATTTTAATGGCTTTTTTTAAAATTTAATTATCAAGTATCATCTATGACAATTATGTGTGAAAGATGTTATCTGTCAAATGACCATCACGACCATGTTTACAGATATCAATTCAAATATTGATATCTGTAAACGAATATATATTATAATATATTCAAACTTTTCGATGACATTTTGACATTTTTGGTCATTTAATTCACCAATTTCACTTCTAAGGTAAATTTCTTTTAGGTCATGAATTGTTGCTGGTTTGTTGGCATAAACTTTTGTTTTCTCACGTTTTCTCGGTGAGATCGAACAGTGAAACTGATAGATCTACGGAGGTCGTAAGTCTCCGATTCAAATTTATACGACATCAAATCCGCGGATACCACTCTGACGCATGTTGATCGGTACCCTCTCAACGGAGAGAGCATGTTCCGTCCTTCAACGAAATTCTCGTGCTGCATCCGTCTAACTTTCTCCGGGACGAATTATCTTTTCCTTTTATCCCTAAAAAACATTTATTAACGGGAAATCTTCGGCTCAGCGAGACAAATTGACAGTCCTTCAACGAACGACGTGCAATCAACAAAAGGTCACGTTCGTTAGGCTTTCAATTTCGTAGAGCCATAGTCTTCTTCCTTGCAATTTCTAAATTAATGATTTTCGAGCCATCTTCTTTCCGGCAATAAAGCCATCTCTGCACTTTTGAACAATACACACCTTCATCGGCAGCATTTTTTATGACAGGGTCGCTAGAACGCACCGCTTCGGTCGCCCGCCCAGGGTTTCTTGCTACCTGCGGCACTGCGTGCTACGTCACTTTACATCCCCTTCCATCGCGTCACTGGCCAATGAATTTCGGGTTTCCTGTCCACGAAACAGTGTAAAAACTCAAAACCGATTCTTCTATACGTCAGTTGTCACTTGTCGGTTCATCGACATTTAGTCTTTAGTCATGTTCGATCTCACCGAGAAAACGTGAGAAAACATTGTGGTTCTTCGAGTCGGATTTTTGGGGAGTTTTCTTCTATATTGAGTGGATGTGGTCCAAAATTTCAGCATGCCGTCCTATCCTCCGACAGCCAGTATAGTTTTGTTCGGATGAACGCTGAGCACATTTAACGTATTGCTCGCACGATTCCAAAGGCGTGTTTAATACGTTAAATGTGCTCAGCGTTCATCCGAACAAAACTATACTGGCTGTCGGAGGATAGGACGGCATGCTGAAATTTTGGACCACATCCACTCAATATAGAAGAAAACTCCCCAAAAATCCGACTCGAAGAACCACAATATTTTCTCACGTTTTCTCGGTGAGATCGAACATGTTTAAAGACTAAATGTCGATGAACTGACAAGTGACAACTGACGTAGAGAAGAATCGGTTTCGAGTTTTTATACTGTTTCGTGGACAGGAAACTCGAAATTCATTGGCCAGTGACGCGATGGAAGGGGATGTAGAGTGACGTAGCACGCAGTGCCGCAGGTAGCAAGAAACCCTGGACGGGCGACCGAAGCGGTGCGTGCTAGCGACCCTGTCATAAAAAATGTTGCCGATGAAGGTGTGTATTGTTCGAAAGTGCAGAAATGGCTTTATTGCCGGAAAGAAGATGGCTCGAAAATCATTAATTTAGAAATTGCAAGGAAGAAAACTATGGCTCTACGAAATTGAAAGTCTAACGATCGTGACCTTTTGTTGATTGCACGTCGTTCGTTGAAGGACTGTCAATTTGTCTCGCTGAGCCGAAGATTTCCCGTTAATAACTGTTTTTTAGGGATAAAAGGAAAAGATAATTCGTCCCGGAGAAAGTTAGACGGATGCGGCACGAAAATTTCGTTGAAGAACGGAACACAACTTTTTTTTCAAATAACCTCAAAGAAAAAAGTCTAATGAAGTTATCACACAACCAGGTGGCCAATTCATATCACAATTTCTTGAAATTAATCGACCATTGAATTTTGATCGCAATAAAGTAATGTTTTTACGCGTTGTGTGTGTGGCGTAGCTCCGTCTTCTTGAAAATAAACATTACATTGTAACGTGCGTCATTCACATTAACTGAATCTTCGTTCTCGTTTTCGATAAGAATGGATTACGCCTTTCGACCAAAATCCACACCAAACAGTAACCTTTTTTGAATGAAGTGATTTTTCTTGAATGGCACTTGGATTTTCATCTCCCCGTATGCAACAATTTTGCTTATCGACGTGTCCATCCAATGTGAAATGAGCTTCATTGCTGAAGATGATGTTGTATAAAAACAATGCATTAATTGAACGATGTTCTAACAACTAATCAGCGAAATTTTTGCGTTGCAAATTGTATTATATATATATATATATATATCATTCTATTATGTTATTTTCTTTTAAAATTCTTGTGTAAATTAAATTTTGTAAGAATACAAATGCAAATCTTTATGCAAAATTCGTCACGAACTGTCATAAGAAATGTTCAATCCTTGAGAACAACGTGGAATTGATGTTGATGGTTCATTAACAACACTTTCACGAAGAGCAGCAATGTTTGCATTCGAACGAGCTGTTTTTGTTCTGCCAGACTTTGGTTTATTACGCGTGCACGAACGAATTCAGTTTTATCAAATCTTTTAACCTTCGAATTATTTGATCAGATGGACGATTATGTTTGCCGAAAAAATCACGTAATTTACGATGGATATTTCTTATTGAACACTGATTTTGAAAATAAATTTGAATTACTTTAACACGCTCTTTAATCATATACGATTCCATCGTTATAATTGTCTATCATTATAGATTAAAAAAAAAATAAAGTGACAAGGAACAAACATGGCGTTTGACAGATGTTCTCATTGAACATACTAAATGTACTTTTGGATAACCCTGTATTACTCGAGTATTCATTCAGTGGGCAGTTCATCCTATATCTTGTTTCACGCATTTGTGAAGCGGGGGCTTCTACCTGAAGATAATTCCTAGACCCTTACGTCACCTCCTGAATTACCTACAGTAATGAATTACCTGAATTACCTGAGTTACCTATAGGAGATAATTCCTAGACCCTTACGTCACCTCCTGAATTACCTGAATTACCTGAATTACCTATAGGGCTCAACCTCGAACTTACACATCAGCTCTCTGACTCACCACCCATAAAAAATGGCCTTTAAACCTCAAGCTTCTTACATCCCCCACCCTGATTTGTCTTCAACTATATAAGACCCCAAAACACGCAATAAACAGAGTCATTTTAACCAGAAACCTACACGCCTCAACTTCGCTCTCCGAACCCATCCCTTAACGTACGCGTACGNAATTACCTGAATTACCTATAGGGCTCAACCTCGAACTTACACATCAGCTCTCTGACTCACCACCCATAAAAAATGGCCTTTAAACCTCAAGCTTCTTACATCCCCCACCCTGATTTGTCTTCAACTATATAAGACCCCAAAACACGCAATAAACAGAGTCATTTTAACCAGAAACCTACACGCCTCAACTTCGCTCTCCGAACCCATCCCTTAACGTACGCGTACGTTACAAGTACAGTTCCGAGTGTCGCGCGTCCCGTGACACATTCGTTCACCGATTTCTACTATCAACTCGCAAAACGTCCGCCCCTAGAAACGCGGAAGCAGAATTTCACGATAGAAATTTTTAGCTGCAATAGCGGCGCGGAGGCGCCTCTTATTGTCCACGTGGGCCGGCACCTAAAGGAAATTTCATCGCGGATTAAAATCAAATCAACCCCCGTTGTCCGCGGTAATAAAACGTGTTACTATTGTTCCGCGAACGGCGGAGCAGCTTTCGTTGCTGAACGAGAAAAAATCGCGTGCTCGTGTCCCACGGGACAGTATAATTGCCCAGTGCGTTCAGTTTAGAGGCGACGGGTACTCAAGATTTCGGGTTAAAATCGGGTCAGGTATTTTCTTCGGGTTCAGGTTGGGACCCAAAATTTTCGGGTATCCGAATCTGAAATCGAGGCTCGAGAATTTTCGAGTTCCCGAAATCTTAAAAGTGGTTTGGGGAGTGTTTCAATAAATCCAGAAATATATTTTATATTACATATGTATGATACTCTCTCTCTCTCTTATTATGTATTCGAGGCAATGATACACAATCAGGAAAAGCGAATAAAATGGTTAAATGTGCCTTCCCGATCCCATTTTAGAATTTCGGGTACCCGAAAGTTTTCGGGACCCCGTGTGACTTCGAGTACTCCGACGTTTCGGGTCCCGAAGCGACCCGTCCCGGTCAATGGCAAAGCCGACCCGAGGCTCGGGTATCTGAAATTTCGAATACCCGTACACCCCTAGTTCAGTCCCGCTTAAAATCGGTCCGAGAGATCACGAACCGGATGCGATGACCATCGGGTCGCCGCCTACTTCGCCTGTAAATATGTAAACACGCCGGTGTCATATACTTACAATATACGAGCATGGAAGCACTCGCCTTTTTCTCGTCTTCGTAAGTGGATATGAAGCACGTGTATTCGCCACTAAGATCGATACCAGGCTTATTCAATTTCATGGCCCGGTGCTTGGTGTACGGATCGGTGCTGGCTTCGTACGTCAGGTCGATGTAGTTGCGCGTGAGCTCGCCGGCCATCGGGCTCATCTCGTATATCCATTGGTAGACCAAGTCGTTGTCGTTGAAGAACCATTTCACGTACAGGCCTTCCTTGTTCGTGTTCTCGAGGTCGTAGTCGCAGTCCAGAATCACGTGGTCGGTTTCGCCGGCCTTCACCATCGCCGGTACGCTCACGCTTTTTATCGCCAGCTGCCAGCATTCTGAAAAATTGCAAAAAGACCGGCCGCGTGAGAACAACGGAATCTGAGAGAGCCGAGGATCGATCCTCGGCACCCGGATGAGAATTCGCTCTCTTGTCTTCTATCTTATACAGGGTGCATCCCTAACACACAAACATAGCAATCCCAGATAAGTCGAAAATGTTTGGTGCAAGTCCCGGTTTCGTGAACATCTTAGTTCTAGTGAGAGTTGAGCAAAATTCATTCGATCGACCAATAACGAAAAAGAATAACATTTTTATTCGTTATTCGCGAATAACGAATATATTGTGCACCTGAAGGAATATTCTAAACAAAATAGAACGTCATACTATATAGCACGTCATACTAAGATGAATTAAAATAATATGTTGAACTCAGTGCCAACAATATTACAACCTTGACCTATATTGTACAACAGGGTGTCCTATCGGATTCTGCCACCCTTAATTATTCTAATATCTGTAGCTTACAAAAAAAAATTGTACCTGTAAAAATTATGATATTTTAGGAATGAAAGTAGCCTATAACGTATAGCAATAACATAGCAAATAATAGCAGCAAGAAGAACAAATATTCAATGTCTCTTGAAATTATTCAATGGAACTACAATGGTTTCTTTAGTTGTTGCTTCAGACGTACCGGTAAATTGGTATCACGAAACGACGTTACATATGTTAATCATTGTTATTCGCAAAGACAAATAACATTTTACTCGCAAATTTTACTGAATGAAAAAACTGTTCGCGAATAATTGATTCACGAATAAGGTAATAGTAACCCATTCGCGAGTAAAATTGTTCAATTGTTTATTCATACGAATAATTATTAACTAGATAAAATGTTACTCGAATAGTGTCCAACTCTGATACTAGTTTCATCGATTTAACATTATCCGATAACAGGTTTCACATATTTTGGTTTGAAGCTCGCGTTATAAATAAATACAATCTAGTCATTCTTATGAAGCAACACAGGTTGGCTAGGTTTAGGGCTCGGTTGGTTCGGTGTTAACGGATAACGAGAGTCGGCTGACTCGGATAGTATGCTCCTATTTGGAAACAATGTTGTGGTTTACCTCTCATCGCTTTATGTTATTAATACCTGTGAAGCTATCGCAATGGCAGGTTGCAGTAATCGCGAATACGCAAACATGATTCTTGCTCTTGAGGCTCGTAATGGAAACGCTCCTGCTGCGGCCGCGCTGTATGTGTAGCGATCTCCTAATCGACGTCAAACGGATCGCCGAGAGATACAGAGGATGCAGATGTTAGTAAACGTGGTTCTTTTTGATCGGATCACAGAGATCATGACAGGCGTTGCCTATTCGATAATGCTGGAGCCAGGATCATTCGATATGCAACAAAGTAGTATTACGTAGCAAATACTAGATACACATCCGTTGCGTGCTTCTATTGAGTTGGCAATAAAGTAAATACGGTTTTGAAACGACAATTACAACGGTCTCCGTATGTGACAACTGAAAATACTTTACCTCGCCAACTCAATAAATGTGCTTATAAATCGTAAATGACAACTAGTATCTGCAAATAGTTAAAGCAAAGGTCGTATCATATTTTTGGGTCTATAAATTTATGTGAAACTGTGTGACTTTTTATGGAACGTTTCATCAAAATTAGAATCTATCGATTACCGAAGTTCCCTCTTAAGTAACTACAGAGTATTCAAACAACTCTTGAAACGCAATGACGTTTTAAAAATTGACCCGAATCACTTGAATATTTTTTGAGATGTTAGAGAGGCTAATTTACTAAACGATGTGTGAGAAATTTTATTCAAAGATTGTAATTATATAGTTGAAATGACAAACAGAGTAAGGAACCTACATTTTTTAATTTTTTTATTCGAGCCTCGTACATTTAATTAGTGCGTTTTCTAGATCTCGGTGATTTATATGTATACTAAAAATTGAATCAAATTGAATCAAAGCTACAAGCATTGAAAAATTAAAAAATTTCTCGATTTCTTACTGTTTTTGGTAAGAAGTTTTGAAAAACTGTAATTTCTGTAATCTTTAATTATTTCTAGCTCATAACGCAGAACGATTAAATTTTTGTTCTAGGCTCAAATCAAACAGTTATAAAACATAGATTTCTTATTTCGTTCGTCATTTTAAGGAATTACAATATCTAATTTTAAATAATAATAATTATAATATCTAATTTTTTAAAAGTTATTGCGTTTTAAAAGTTCGAATACTTATCAAAGCTAAGAATAATATGCAGTTCAAATTGTACGAAAAAAATTGTCTGCAACTAGTATCCTAATATCCAAAGATGAAGAAATTTATTCAACAGGCACCCATCTTTCGCGCATTCTTGGCGTAACTTTAAAGTCGACTTTGTCGAAAACGAAGCGTTTCAGAAAAATCTCCGTTCTATATTTTCTTGCGTAAGAAATCGCGAAAGTTTGTATTATGATTTCCGGTACACCGTGTATTTCCACTCCTCTTCGTCTTCTGTCGTGCACGGTTTCGCGCGCAGGGAGGATTGTGCGGGCAAGGACACCGCGGAATGAAAAGAGCGCTCGGGGAATCGGGCTCTTGCCGCCTCTGTTGTCGAGGCCTGACAGCAGAGAATGGGCCTAGTTTCGTCCGAAGAAATGCGGGTCGCTCTTCTGAGATGAGACGTTTCTCCCGACTAAGCGTAACTCGAGTTAGAGGTGAAATTAGAGGTAAATAAATTCAGATTTCGGGAGGCGATTGTCTTTCGTGCGCCCGCCCGTTTCCTTTGACAAACGCTCGGAAAAATGGATTTTCTGAGCTGACTCCGCGAAATATGTAAGCATGATACGCTCACTCAGGGCTCGAATTTAACTGTAATTTTTGTTTACTCTAATTTATCCGCAACTTTTATAAATCCGAATTATTTAGTAAATTTTCAATTTCTGCTTTTTTTCTTTTTCTGTTTTTAGCTAGCTTTTACATTAACAATTGAATTTTTTAATTTAGGGAATTTAATCTTGGCTGTGAATACAGGGTGTCACAAAAGTCACTCGCAAATGGGAGGTCATTTGAAGCCACTTTTTCCTCAGCGCAAATGCAATCCGCGGCTTTGTTTACGAATTACTGATGAAAAACAGTGACTAATTAGAGACGAGATCAGCTGGCGCGGGGTGACCGAGCCAATGAACGGCCCGCTCGTTGTCCCGGCTGCCCTGCGCCAGCCGAGTTCGTCTCTCATTGATCAGATTGCATTTGCACTAAAGAAAAAATTACTTCAAATTACGTCAAGAATCCCTTCCTTTCTGAACCCCTGTTTGAGTTCATTAAATGTAACCGAATTCTATTAATTATTATTTTTTACCTGTATTTTGCTCCATTCCATCTGGTACATTCGAACATCATTTAGGAGGAAATTAATTTTGAACGTTAAAAACTTTACATTATTATTCTGAAGTATTTTAAATTTCAATTGCACTATTGTTTCATCAATGTAATATATAGAATAGTATAAAGAGAATTAATTATTTGTACTGTTTCACCGTTGAGCTTAATACGAATTAAGGGAGTAATAATCAGTAAGTAGCATAAATACGAAAAAATTGATGTATAAGTTGGAAAAGGGATGTATCGAAGTTCCTTACACAATGGTGCAGGTTTACTGGCGTCTAACTTATAGCACGGTGTCGTTTATAAGTAGATATACTACTTCAATAGTAAATCAGTGACTTTCATAACAATTCCTACAGCCACAAATTATTCTCTTTGCGTCAAACTTCAATCACCTTTGACACATAACGGCTCAACAACGCCACATCAGTTCGACCATTAACTTCACCATCAATCTACGATAGTTTCGAAACTGTACGTCATAAAAGAAACATATTATCGTTACTGAATATTATAGCACTATTAGAAATTAATTTGAAAAAGTATTAAATAAATTTTCCTACCGAGAATTACGGCCGATTTTAGTAAAGTGAAATGAAATATTTTCTTCTCTTCATTAATAGGCTCGATTGAAATTGTACAAATTTTTTTACTGTTTGATATTTCTCTCATCCATTTTTGTCTTTAATTCTAGGCATAATTATACTGTGAAAGTTCATATCGCAAATTTACATAGTTTTAGATCATAGTTTCGAAACTGTACGTCATAAAAGAAACATATTATCGTTACTGAATATTATAGCACTATTAGAAATTAATTTGAAAAAGTATTAAATAAATTTTCCTACCGAGAATTACGGCCGATTTTAGTAAAGTGAAATGAAATATTTTCTTCTCTTCATTAATAGGCTCGATTGAAATTGTACAAATTTTTTTACTGTTTGATATTTCTCTCATCCATTTTTGTCTTTAATTCTAGGCATAATTATACTGTGAAAGTTCATATCGCAAATTTACATAGTTTTAGATCATAGTTTCGAAACTGTACGTCATAAAAGAAACATATTATCGTTACTGAATATTATAGCACTATTAGAAATTAATTTGAAAAAGTATTAAATAAATTTTCCTACCGAGAATTACGGCCGATTTTAGTAAAGTGAAATGAAATATTTTCTTCTCTTCATTAATAGGCTCGATTGAAATTGTACAAATTTTTTTACTGTTTGATATTTCTCTCATCCATTTTTGTCTTTAATTCTAGGTATAATTATACTGTGAAAGTTCATATCGCAAATTTACATAGTTTTAGATTAATTCAAAGAAAATTTCTTTTCTCGATTACAACTTACAATAAAGTCAAAATTGAAACGGCGCTGGGTGGTCCGAAATTTCGTGTTTTACGATCTTTTGACGATGTTAAAGGCTCGAAACGCACACAGTGCCGCGGTTTATCTGTTACTATATCGTCATTCATGTTAAAGCGAAGACGCAATGCGGGGAATTGAAATTCAGTTGCATTAGTGAATATAATTGCTTTGAATTTTAAGCGATGAAATTCTAGATCGGTTACATTTCGGCTAACTCGAACGTCCCGTTGATGTTTCAGCAATTATTGTACAAATGAACGCATACACCGCATTGATAGAGAACAGCGCATAATAAATGACACGAAATGGAAATTACTGTTTAACTGTTATGGAGAACGTTATCGCGATATTGTTGTAACAAGATGGTCGAGTAATTATTCATTGTGGACCTATGTTGCCGTTAGCGCTTCAGGACGAGTTTCGTGCGCACTTATTCAATCAATTATGCCATAATTTTCATGACCGTTAAAGCGGGATCCAGCGAGATCTCTTGTAATTTTGACAACTGAATCTATTCACCAAAAAAGAAGTGGAAAGAAAATTTTTTCTGCCAGAATTTCTGCAGTTAAAATGTGAGAGAAGTAAAATATAAGAAATTAAGTGGAAAGTCATCATAAAAATTGCAATTTATTTGATATAATTATTAATTAAAAGTTATATTATTCTCTTAATAAAAGCCCTAGATATATACATGAACGCAACGAGAATTGAATTTATTGTCAAGATGATTGAAATTGAAATTGCGATGAGTACCATCATTTTGTCTCGAGTTATTTTAATTAACAATTCAAAGCCATCGACGAACACAGAAAATTGCAATTTAGCTTATATTGCGTATGTATGAGAATTGTACAAAATTATTAACGATTTATTACATGCCGATCAAAGTATTATAAAATTTCCGACAACCGAAGGCAAAGGATAGTGCTGAGTATTTCAATGAAATCATTTCAAAATGAAAAAGAGATAGTGGTGAACACACATGACGGTATACGTTTGATCCGAAAACCTTGCATTTTATTGCTTGTGTTAGGTGAATTATATTGCACCAATCGTTTCCATCATAATATATTAAATATTTAGAGCATATAGATATACCTGAAAGTAGAATCTGCTACTGCTGAACGTGCAACCAATTTTTAAACAGAGATAGACTCTAATTGTGGGATCAAACTAGCTCTTTTTACTGCATAAGGATTGGCTAACGCTTGTCTCCTCTCATTTTACTCGGTGTGTACGTCTTAAAGCCCAGGCCCGAGCCCGTGAGTAAAAAACGCAAGAGGGAGGTTACGCTTATTATAAGTCACGCGACTAATAATAAATTATAATCAATAAACAATCAAACTTCAGGAATAACGTGTTT